CCCCCCCCCCCCCCCCCCCCCCCGGGAACCCCCGCCGCTGCAGCTCCTTACCTAGCCGAAAAGAACCCCCGCCGGTCCCAACATGGAGGCGCCCATGAGCGCGCGCTGCAAGGCTCTCGCCGGCTCCGAGCTCCCGGTTCTGCCAGGCGGGGCGGCGCCGTACGGGAATTTCCCCAACTACTCCTGCTTCCATCCGCCCGAGGGGCGCGTCTGCCTCCTACCTGCGACTCTTCTGAGCAAGCTGTTCCCAAACCCGCGCGCGGGGCCCCTTTTGGGCCTGGACGTTGGATGCAATTCAGGGGTAAAGAAGGGACGGAGCGGGACGGGAGGGGAGGTCTCCGCATCTCTGCATAGCGCAGCTGCCCCCGCCCTTTGTTTCTTCTTGCTTGCCAGTGGACATTCGGCTGTTGCAGCTGTTCTTGGCGAAGAGAGAGGGAGGCCACCTAAGGGTGGCGTGAGGACTGGGGTTATACACTGGGCAGATGCGTCTGCCAGGTTTCTGTTTCCTTTCTCTCTGTACTGGGCCGTGGAAATAGATTTGTGAGGTATTGCGGTATCTTAAATGTTGCAAGATGTCTGAGGGCTGCGTGTGTGTTCCCTGCAAACAATAATATCCTTTAATACACGGGTTCCTAAACTTTTTGCTGTCACATCTCCCATTAGGGCAGTGTTGTCCAAACTTGGCCACTTTAAGATGAGTGGACTTCAACTCCCAGAATTCCCCAGCCAGCCATGGACAACACTGCATTAGGGTAATCTTCATGTACACCTCCCCTAAAAGTCCAAACACCAAAGTGAACAATGAAAACAATACAGTGAAACTTTGGGAATTGTGGATTTATTGTGAAATGTACAACTAAAAGGTTCTTCACACCTCCTCAAGGGACATATGCCTCACGGTTTGGGAACCCTGCTTTAAGGGGTAACTACAGCCTCATTTTCTGGCCTTGCTTTGTAATACTTGCTTCTCTAGCTGGAACCTGACTTACTTCATCTCCCCCCCCCCATTTAAAAATGTATGCTTCAAAAGTTCAAAGGCAGTCTTCTACAGCATGGCACTGTTGGACTACATGTCCAATTATCTGCAATCAGCACAGATAAACCATTAATTTACAGAATACAACATTAATTTGGGAGCTGTATGGAGAAAATCTATCTATGTGGTCACCAAGAGCCAAAAACAACTTGATGGCACATAATCAAAGATTAAATGGAATGATGCCATCAGTATGAAATAGGCAAGATGATTCCCTGAATAGAACTTACCTGTGGATGCTATTTTTTTCTTTGTACTATGCTTAGCCACCAGAAAGTATCTAAAAGGCTAATATACGCTTTTGCCCAGATCCAACAAGGCACTTTTTAACATACCTTGAGGTTGGACTCTTTGGGCTTTGGGACATTAATACAAAGGTTTCCCAGGAAGTTTACCACAATTAGTTGGTGCCTGGAATGGGATCAAATCTATTTGATTGGTCTACCTTGTCTGTTTGTCGTGTATGATTTGGATTTTGTGCTTGACTGGGTGTTATATCATATCTAGCTCCATATATTGATTAATGGTTCCTTTATTTGAGTGCCAGGCTTCCAGAAATTCTCTGCTTTCCTGCTGTGTGTGTGATCAATTATCTCCTAATACTCCAGTCAGTATTGATCTCAGTATCAATCTCCCGAAGTGCAGATAACCCAACTACAAAGCATGTCCAGCGAATCCAGGCTACCTGTATTCCAAGAAATTGTAAAGCATTTTTTGTAGCTCAGGCTCTCCCATCCTGGTGTATTCCAGATGTGTTGGACCAGCTCACCAAATCCCCAGCCAGAATTGGCAAAGGTGAAGGATGATTTGACATTATAGTCCAGCCACATCTGGAAGTCCATAGGTGGCTCACTTCAAGAAACCCCTAAGAAATGGGATACTATATAGACAGTTGGATTTCTTTTATGGAGTTAGCTGTAACATCTATATAGGATGGTCCCAGCCGATGTCCTGTAGAATCTGAGTTGTTGGAGATAGTTACCTTCATACTTGGCTGTCTACCTCCCAGGTGACTCCTTTTGAATTACAGTGTCTGTAGATAGATCCAATGGGGATGTTATTTATTACAGTCAGCAACAGCAGAAAAAGACTGTTTCATATAACTTGGAGTCAGATCTGTTGACACTGAACTATGCGTTGGCTGAACTTTGGTTAGGGTCATGGAGGGGCAATTACAGTTATTCTAGGAGTGGACAACTAGGAGTGTGCTAATGCAAAAGATGAGAGACTTCTTTCTTTCCTCTCTCTTCAGGAACTCAGTGTCGCCCTCTACAGACACCTCCTTGGCTTTAAGCAGAACCACACCAACCCGGAGCATTCTGTGGATGGAAAGGACCTTCGCCTCCTTTGCTGCGACATTGATGCGGAGCTGATTGAGAGAGCCAAACAACACAGCCCTTTTCCTGGTTTCATTTCCTATGCCACTCTTGATATCATGGACCCCAGTGCAAGGGAGACCCTGCTGAGCTCCTATTTGAACAAGTTTGGCTGCTCTTGGTTTGATATTTGCTTCTGCATGTCTGTAACTATGTGGATCCATCTGAATCATGGGGACAGTGGTCTGGTGAAATTCTTATCTTGCCTTGCCTCTAAATGTATGTACTTACTCCTTGAACCCCAGCCGTGGAAATGCTACCGTGCAGCTGCTCGTCGCCTGCGGAAGTTGGGCCGGAATGACTTTGACCATTTCCGTTCTCTCACCATCAAAGGGAACATGGCTGAGAGGATAACTCAGATCTTGACAAGAGACTGCGCCATGGAGTTTGTGTGTTGCTTTGGAAGCACTAGCTGGGATAGGAGCCTCTTGCTGTTTAAATCGAAAGAGAAAAAGCATTTGGGATAATTTAGGACTCGTACATTTTTGCATTTAGTCAAAGAGCAAATGTCAGGTTATTGGGAGAACCAACTCTTTTGCTGTGCTGTGATTGAACTGTAAGAGTAACATGGGGTCTTGAAAATCATACATTTTTTATAACAAATTATTTTCAAGCTTTATCAATACGCCTTAACTCTTGCTGCAATCTCAACATTTTTGAGACAGATGATAAACAAAGGATTCCCACTAGATGGGAGCAAGGTTTAAGATAATGTTTTTATCCTCCAGAAACAGGAAAATAGATATGCCTGGTTTCTGTACTCACAAGTTTTGCAATTCTTTTCTCATCACAGAAAGTTGATTTCCGTTATTTCAGAAATAAAGCCTCATATCCTTTTTGGCTTTTTCTTTTGGCTCTACACTGGCTGTTTATTTTATTTCTTGATAAAATTTATATTTTGACAATATAAACGGCAGTACTTTTTAGGGAGAATGTTTAAAGCCTGCTCAGGCCCATCAGAACCAGGAGGGGGGCTGAATGCTATTCAACTGTATTGATAAAACTTCCCTTCCTCCTTGGGTTCAAAGGCACATGATGGAGTGAGCGAGTCTCAGTGTGGCAGACCAGATTTACATGACCCTTTGTCTGCATCCCAGGCTCAGCTTTCATTTGATTTCTTTTTTAAAGCAACACAGAAGTGTGGAGTGGAAAGAACCACAGGAAGAAGAGGCTACTTAATCCCTCAGGATAATTTTACAGAGGGAAGTACTCTTGACCAGAAAAAGAGAAGGTTAAGGATATCCACGTATGCCCCCGTTCAGCCTCCCACACAGACATATTCCCCCTTTGATGATTTTGGAGTAAGCAAATACAAAGTATGTGCAATGATAGATTATGGATAGCTTGGTATTCTTGCCAGTGTGAATTGCTAGGGGAATAAAAAGAGTGTGAACTGTTGCCACCAGACTCAATCAAGGGGAAAACCGACATGGGGATAGGGTAGTGGCAGAAAGACCAAAAGTAGAATAAAGGAAGAAAACAGAGGACTAAGAGCTAGAGTGAAAAGGTAGCTGTAAGACAAAAACAGTGCTAGAAGCCATACAGATGAAAGAGGGATTCATAAAGAATCTCTTGTGCTCCTTAACTTCGGCAAAAGAGATCCTTATACAAATCATTGCTGCTTCAGAATTCAAAGGAGATGCTTAGGGGTACATGTAGCCAAACTCTTCTTGAAAATATAAAAGTGATCTTCCTCTACATGGTTATATTGCTACAATCCTTACTGCTGTGCTTTATGTATGTGCAGTCTGGGGGTCCTTCTGGACTCACAACTCCTGCTTGAAGAACAGTGGCGGTTGTGGCTAGGAGGGCCTTTGAGCAACTTTGTGCTGTACACCAGTTGCACCTGTTCCTGGATCGGGAGGGTCTATTTTTATTTTATTTATTTGATTAGTCAAATGTATATGCCGCCCATCTCACTATATAAGTGACTCTAGGCGGCTTACAAATAAAACGATAAAAAACAGTAAAAGTCTTTACAAAAATATACAGGGTTAAAAGACGGAGGGAGCATCCTCAAACGACCAACCACCCCCAGTGCTGTGAGCCCTCATTATCTCCCCATGCTAGGTGGCAGAGCCAGGTCTTAACATTTTTCCGGAAGGCCATGAGTGGGGGCCAATCTCACCTCAGAGGGCAAGTTCCACAGAGCAGGGGTGACGGCAGCGTCCCCATGAACACAGGATCAAGATTCAGGCACTTTGCAACTGGCGGACATTTATGGCCATTGCAGCATCCTGTGGTCACTTGTTTGCCCTTTGCACACTTCACAGCCGACTTCCAACAAGCAGTCAATGGAGAAGCCAGCAGTAAAATCGCAAGTCATGTTCACATGATATCTCGCTTAACAACTGTGGGTGATTTGCTTAATGACCGTAACAGAAGTGAGGTGGTAAGTCCATTGTGGTCACTTGATGTCTCACTTAACAACTGTGTTGCTTAGCAATGAAATTGCTTGTCCCAATTGTGGTTGTTAAGCGAGGACTATCTGTATTGCATGTAAGATCTTGAAGGCACTCTCCCATGGTTTTAGTTACATTTCATGTTTTAATTGTTTAATGGTTTTTAAATTTTTATTTTTAATTGTTCTATTTTTATTGTATGCCACCCAGAGTCACATTTGGCTATATAAATTTGAAAAACTAATAAATAAATTTAAATAGACATTTTAAAAAGCAGATTCAAGGAATAAAACTTAAGCGCTTTACTATTTGGTTGACAGCAAAAAGCTGTGTTAATAAGCTTTGTCTCTGTTTATTCATTCATTCTGGTTTTAGTTCAGGATTGGATCATATTCCCCCAGGTAGAACTGGTACACAATTTGGGGGTCCTCTTGGATTCATGGCTCTTGCTTGAGCTGGTGGCAGCCGTGGCCAAGAGGGCCTTTCCACAAGTCCATCTAGTGCATGACTCCATCTAAGATTGGGAGGCCCTGCCCACAGTCACTTCCTGCCTGTACTATTGCAATGCGCTCTACATGGGGCTGCCCTTGAAGACCATTCAGGAGCTCCAGTTGGTCCAGAATGCAGTGGTGTGGGCAGTTATGTGCCTACCACCATGCATTGGCTTCCTATCAGCTTCTGAGTGCAATTCAAGTTACTGGTTATCACCTATAAAGCCCTTCCTGGCACAGCGCTACTAGCAGGCCTACTAATCTCAGGTTATGCCTGCCTGTCCTACAAGATCCAACAGAATAGACCTGCTTCAGGTCTTTCTGTGAAACAAAACCACCTGTTGGGACCCAGGAGGCATGCCTTCTCTGTCACAGCACCTGCTCTTTCCTAACACCAATCCCCTCTCCCCCCCACCCCACCCAGATCTGAATGGCCCTGATGCTACAGGCTTTTCGTAATGCTTTAAAAACTTGGCTTTTCCCACAAGTATCGGATTAGGATATTTTATCAACGCATCTGGAAAATTGTTTAAGATTCTGAACCTACTGTATCTTGGGCCTCGATTTATGCTGTGTAGCTATGGTTCTGTGTTTGTTGGTTATCTTGTTTTGTTTTGAATCCTTTGTTAGCCAACCAGAATTACATTTATGAGTTGGGTGGCCATATAAAGAGTTTAAATAAATATAACCACAGGGACGCCATAGTGAGTGATGCAAGGGCCATCAGATTGCTACAATCATTCACACAGTACACATGAATAACCCATTACTCAAAAGTTACCCAAATGCTTCTAAAAGAGCCCAGAAGAAGTCTGATAGCACCTTTTCCGCTAATAAAATTTATGAAAA